ATGTACCTGTCCCAATTTAACAGTGCAACTTGTGAAGAAGCATTCAATCACTGAGTTAAGAGAGCACATCTGCATAATTAACTCAGCAGAGAAAATGTAATGTCAAAGAACATCTGGTGCAATTGCAGAGTTTAGGAAAAACCACAACAAATATTAAGGTTTACCAAGAACATACAAAAAATATTAAAGATCACCCACATGCACCACTGAGCTTCTTTGGCATGTCTGAAATTTACAGATTTTATTTCTCTGCCACATGAACTATTCAACAATGCATCAGGTATAAAATAGAACGAGCTGGATCAGTTCCAAAAGAAAAAATAAGGGAAAACTGGTAAGTGCTGATGTATACCAATCTTTTCCAATAACTATTAAACTACCTAGGCAATTGATGACAGCAAATTTTAATGAAAATGCAATCTTAAAAATGCAATAAGTTATAGGACTGGAGTTTCATGATCCATCATGTTGATTAGTGGAAAGAAATGTAAACCTATTTATGGAGTGCTAAAAACAAATAAACAAGCAATCCACGTCTTGGCCACATTATTGTTTTGAATTCAAAATATTACATACAAATAGTGGACAAATTGTCATAAATGTTTTTAGATCAGAATGTTTGAGAAACGGGTTTAGTCAAAAGAAATATCCCTAAAAAGCATTCATGTTTTGCCCTTTTTGATCTGCTTGAATACAGAAATATATAATATGGCTTTTCCATCACTGGTTTTTAAGAGAAGTAGAAAGCAGGAGAAAGATTTTCAAATTGTAGAAGGAGCCTCCCTTAAGAGGCAAAGATTGCCTGTTAGTGCCAACCACCATGATTTATCTGTGTATATATCATCAAGATGAGGGAAGAAGGTAGAATGCAGTCTCACACTCCACTCATCCCAACTGGTACAATGTAGGAAAACATGCAGGCTGTAACCCATTAATTATTTTATTTATGCTACTATGTCCCTACCTTTCAATTTGCATATATAACCACTAGGATATAAATAGACAAACTTTAGGGCTTTCAGTAAGTTAGTGTCACTCAACCCATATTCTGCAACCTGGACATTTACTCTGCCTGGATGAAAGCATGCTGACTAAAGCTGAATTCAGACAAATAATGAAATGCTTTTGACCTTGGTCTACTTCTAGGGGATTCAAGATGCACTTGCGCCTAAACTCTCCTTATCAATAATTTCTTAAAATTCATTAATTACTTTCAGAAAAGACTATGAAATATTGAATGTTACTGATAACCATAAACAATTACTCCAGGATGAATATGCTTCCAATATTAAAACTGATCCTGATCCAATGTCAAATGCTCAGTACAAGCCAATACAAATATTCATATAGGGTTAATTTCAATGGATCAAAACAGTGTGTAATCCTGGATCACACTGGTTAACACAATTGCTACAGCCAAAGAGCACAATGACGTTACAGACAAAAAGGAGAAATAAGAAAACCCCATGAAATTAGGATGTAGAAAAATATAGGTCTAAACCTCAGAAAGTTATAAAAACAAAACCACATAAATATACTAATTTATATATTGTTCCCTTGATTCTTATGGTTAAGGATACCCTAATATTATTAAGCATTTTAAATTACTGTCTCTATAACTCTTTTCAGAGAATTTTATGACATTTATTGTGCACTCAGGCTATTGAGCCTTATGTTTACAACCAGGTGGAAAAAGCTTCCCTGTTCTTCTAAATAGGTTTTGATGTGATAAAAATCCTAGGTACTATATACCAGAATCTGCATCCATCTATGTGGATCACTCTTATGTGAGTAAAATCAGCTTTTACAAAATGCATCAGAATAATACTTCAGATAGAATACTTTACTTTCCCAGTTCTTTCAAAATTCACAAGATACCCAAAGACACTGTGAGGTATCCATAATCTGAACTAAGACAATCTCTTTTCAGTCTTACCCAAGAGTTTTTAAATAAATATAATAATTAATGGATCAATTTATACAATATTTTATTATTTTACAGCAACCTGCTATCTGGGGTAGATTAGATTACCTGCTATAGATAGTTCCTCTGATGGAACAGGTTTATAGACTGAATGCTCCTTGATTCAGTTTTGCTTCTGAGACAGAGATGGCCATGACAGGCAGACTAATTATAATCAGTTACAGTATGCATTGATTACTTTTTCAGGATGAAATCCAACAGTGTCTGTCCTCCATGAAATGAATACTGTTGGTGGAAAAGATTCTCCCTCGTCTCCTGCAGCCCTTTGGGCACCCCCAAAAAACTGCTCAGGAGTATTTTGAGAGCCTCTGAAAAAAATTAGGAGGGAAAGAAAAGGAGGAATCCTATTACCTGAGAAGAAATCTAGCTGCTTCTGGATGTTGCCCTATAATGCAAGGCCCTTGCCACCATTATCTAAACTTTAATGCAAATGATGCAGAAAACCATTAGTTTTGCCTGCTAAGCTTGAGCACGACATACTACCATATTATTCTAATTTTCTTCCAACTGCATTAACTCAGTTTTCTTCCTGATGAGAAGTTCTGGCTATTGCCTGTCAAGCCCTACATAGCCTGGACCCAATGGATCATTGGAACATCTCTCCTACGATTACCTTTATATATGTTGTAAAATTAATGAGCTCAGAACTGGTTCAGAAGTTTTACAAGGTAATACAAATGAACTTATTGCCAACAAATATTAAGCATGGGATTATTTGGTTTGGACATAATATCAGGAGAGGCTGGAAGCTTACCTATAAAGAATGGGGAATGAAACTGAGAAGTAACATGCAATTACTATGTTGTCGACCAAACAGATATAATGTATGTGGAGGCCAGATGACCTCCATGAGTCATAGCGGTGTTACTGTTATGGTCCTGGAACTCTCAGATGACCACCTGGAGTAGGACCATCTGGCAACATTTTATCGAACAAAGTTAATACCTTATGTTGTACTTTCAGAATACAAGTCCAATACAGGTATCCATACACCCTTGGCTATATTAACTTATTCTGCCTTTTTATATTTTGTTTCAATTTATACAGAAAAAGAGTATATATATCTTGTAAATGTATAAATACTGTGTGTGTTCCTTTATTATGCATGCTTATGTAAATCCAAAACCATTTCTATACAGATTGGGTTAGAATCAGGAACTGCCTTATGTGAATGGAAGGTGCCCTGGATCAATTTTTCACAATCTCCTCTTCTTCCTGCACTGCAGCCTATGCCAAGTAGCAGGGTCCCCCAACTTTTCATGCAGCTTTTGGAGAGGTTGGAAAGGCAGCCACAGGGAGGAGAGGAATCTGTTTCAATCAGCCCAGTTGCACATATGGATCCAAATCCATTAAGTGCAGAACCCTAATTAAACTTCCTATATAATTTAATGCACCAGGTAAGTTCAAACTATCCTCTAATACAGACCTGGGCATTGTACGGCCCGCGGGCCACATCTGGCCCGATGGCTGACCCTGACTGGCCCACATGAGGTCACTGGCAAATATTCAACCTGACTTCAGTGCACTTGTTGAAGCCCAAACCAGACTAGATTTCTCTCACTGAACAACAAAAAAAAAAAAGAACTGAGGTAATGCAAACAAAGCTGGATGCATTTATAGGGAATCCAAAGGCAACTTGGATTGTTGAGTTTTCTGTTTCTCTGTTCTAATTCATAAGGTCTATACCTTACTATGTTAAGCGCTGGGAGATCACATATGTTGTAAATTTGCGCTATATAAGTAAAATTGAATTTATTGCTTTTCATGTAATGTTAATGTTTTTGTGAATATTCATTAAATAGTGTTGTTCTGTGCTCCACATTTTCATTGTATCATTGTAATGTTTCATTTACAGTTTTTATAGAGATATATATTGAGCAGAGCTGTTAAGTGTATTGGTCCGGCCCTTAACAACTGTCAAAGTTTCTCATGTGGCCCCATAGGAAAATTAATTGCCCACCCCTGCTCTAATACATAGGATGAAGCATGTAGGAACTTTATAAACAAGCCAATTTTAATATGCGAGCCAACAATGCTACACAAAGCAACTCAACAAATTCTCATCAGTTGAGAAAGAGAGAACAATTAAAGTTTTGAACACCACAACATTCTTCAATTTACTTAAAATAGCACTTTCCTAGAAATTTCATTCTATTGTCTAGAATCAGAAATTAAAATCTGCAATTCTAAGGGAGTAATCCTATAGATTTTTAGGCAGAAAAATGCCCTGTGAGTCCCAGCATAGTTGGTTGGGAAATACCAGGGCTTGTAGGACCTTTTCTGTCTAAATAAGCATAGGATTGCACTCTAAATAGATACAGCTGATTTAACTCAGATCAGTGGATGATAGTATTAAGATACAATCCACACCAACTGATGTTTACATGACTAAAAGAAATATTAGTTTATTTTATGTTCTCCAAATACATAATATTCAGGAACTTGTTTCCCTTTGTGAAGAAGCCAGTATAGTGCATTGCTAGATTTTTATATGGAAGGTTTCTGTTCAATGCCAGTGAATGTCCATTAAATGCCATTTCACATACTAAGAGAGCAAACCAAAACTTGCCTCTGAGGGACAATTTGACAGGAAACTCGATCCAATTCCAGCTGACTGATGAGAATACCTATGATATGCTTTTGCTGTAATACATTTATCAGCCTTTAAAGTGCCACATTAAGGTGATGGTTTTCCTGTAGCAGTCTATGGAAATATCTAAGAATATGAGATCTGTGTTCCCAACCCTGTGTAAATTAAGAAGTCACATATTCTAAGTGCACATCTAAAGGGTATCATGCATGAAGTAGCCCAAATTGTAATCCTAATCTATTCCACAGCCAACTTCCAAAGTATTACAGCACTTCGAATTAAAAGAAATATGTGAAACCTGAAATGTGGTGTGTAGGAAAGTTCCTTTCTGTAAACATTAAAACATGAACAATTAACAAAGCTGTACAATCCAGAGATGCAGCCGAGTTTATCACACAATAAAGAAGTGTAACAGAAAAGTCTTACCTCCATTGATTGGTAAAGGTGCCAGAAGCAGGCCTTTAACAGCTACTTTGGGAGAATCTTGTCCATAGCGTCCACGCTCAAGTATTAGCAAAGTAGGTGTTGAACGATCTGGATTCAATACAGTCACATTTATGAGAGCTGTATAATATGCTTGGTTGGTATTATCTGCACTAGCTAGAAGAGCATAACAGTTAAACAGCACCAAAATGGGCACAGAGGACAAACAGTTCCAGTAAGGCAAAGCCCACTTTAAGATCATTTTCAGCCCTAAAAATTATTACCTCCAAAAATATTCCTGAATAAAATAGTTATGTCTATCGTGTGCGTAAATGCATGTTATTCCATGCCAGTGTCAAAATGAGTTGTAACCGCAAGAAAAGGCAATTAAGAAATTCTGGATGTTTGGCCCTTTGCATCCATTCAACCATTTAAGATTACTGAGGAAGCTTAAAATTACACTGGAGAAGGGCAAAAGAGAGTGACAGAAAGAAACACTCTCTATTTAAACGGTGCAAACGAATCAGAGCGAAGAAGCCGATATAGTCTAAGCAATACAACTGCTGGAAGACAGACGACGGAAACAGCTTATTTGGGGGGTGGGGGTGACACGTATCCGAACGCTTTAAGCAGAAGATGAACCTCAAGAGGCCAAACAGCCCTTCACTCCGGATTTCTTAAGGGGCGCCGCGTTGGGCCTGCCAGCCTGCGCGCCTCTCCTGGGGCTTCCTCTGAATTACAGTCAAGACGGCGACGAAAGAAGCAAGGAAGCACGGCCAGTGGCGCCGGCCGCTCTAGCGGGGCTCTCCTTCTCCAGCGCCGGCCAAAAGGGAAAGGTGTCACCGACAGTCCAACAGAAGAGAAGTACTACGGGAAGGTGGTGGTTAGGTAGCGTCGTCGCCCTGCTCGAGGCACAGCAAAGGAAGGAACGCCAAACGCCGCCACCAGGGCTGCTGCGACTCGGCCCGGAGGCTTCGCTGCCGACGGTCACCCTCAGGCTTGCAGCTGGGCGCTGACGCGGAGGAGCCCAACTTCGCACGCAGCCTCCACGGACGCTCCCCGGCCCCGGACGAGCGGCTGCGGCTGCGGCGGCAGCAGCAAGAGCTCCATGGAGGCTGGCTCGGCTCCGACCGGTTCGTGGCCCCTCTCAGCCCAGTCGCGAGCCCAAAAGCGAAGGGGCAACTCGCGGCGCCGACGGCCCCACCCACCGACTAACCGCCGGCCTTTCCCTTCCCTTCGCCTCAATTACAACAACGGCCGCCGCCAGCGCCCGAGCGGAATCTGATGGCGGAACCACCAACTGCAACCTGCCGGCTAGGTTCTAGCGCCGAGTGCGCAGGCGCACTGCGCCAACCCACTGCTCCCCTCCCCCACCGCCACGAGGAGGTGGGCGGGAACTCCAGCGAAAAGTCACACCCACTCCTGAGAGGAGGGAAGGCGCGCGTGTAAGAGTCAGTGAGGATGCGGGAGCGAGCCTTCCCCTGCCAGGGGTGGCGTGGCGTGGCGTGGCGTGGCGTGGCGAGAAGAGCTGGCTCATGGTGGCAAGCCGAGCAGGAAGGCAGGGCGGCGGCGGCGGCGGCGAGGGAGCTGCTGCTGCTGCGGGCCTGTGGGCATCACAAGCGAAGCAGGAAAAAGCGGCCAGCGCAGATGCTACGAAGCCCCGTTAATGCCTGACAGTCCTGGATCAAGTGTAACACGACCGCCTACCACGAGGACGGATGCGTCCTCCCGCAGCACGTCTCCGGCGCCCCCCTTCCCCGGCGTTGCCAGCCATTCGAAGCAGCGGGTGCTTCTCGTTAAACGAGCCGGATGCGGTCCTCTCCTGAGAGTGGAGGGGGCTCCCCTTCCACTCGTCCCCCGTAGCCGAATAATTTCCCTCATCAGTATTCAAATTCTAGGCATAGTCCTCAGATAATGTCCATTTACAATTTACAGCATTTAACTTTGCAACTCTAAGCCAGGGCGACTGATTTTATATTGTAAACTTGTTTTATATTTTATTGTATTATATTTTAATTGATATATTTGTGAGCCACCCCGAGGCTTCGGCGAATGAGGCGGCATAGAAATTTTCTAAATAAATAAATAATGCTTCCATACTGAATCAATTGCTATGGGTGTTTGTATGTGTCTAAATTTCAAAATAGTTAATCGTCCAGAGTCTCAGCCATTGAACTAAATGAAAGAAATAAACTTTAAATGTTCAGGCCTATTGAATAGCTCATTGGTAGAATAAATGTTTTGCACGTGAAAGGGCTCTGGTTCAAGCCTTAACATTTCCAGTGAGGCTAGGAGATCCTTGTCCGAAACACTGAAAAGCAGCTCCCAGTCTAGATCTGGACCAGTGTTTTTTAACCACCAGTCCACAGACCAGCACTGGTCCATGGGAGATTTCCGGTGGGTCTGTGGGGAGGACCACATCCCACTCGCCATGGCCTGGCATCGGGGCTGGCTGTGCTCCACCACCTACCTCTTCCTCAGTTGGCATCATGTTCAAGGGGGAGCACCAGTGCCGTGGGATGGGGAGAAAAGGGGACAGACAGCACAGTGGGAGCCGCCTGGGAGCCATGCCTCACCGATTTCGGAATTTTGTTCTTTTGTTGACACTTCTTGTCGCTCAGTTTCTGGTTGTTCTGAAGAATTTTCTTTTTTTGGTATTGTGTTTGGAAACTAATACACAGAATACTGTATTATGTGTGCCGTGCTTTTTGTTTCTGCCTCAGCTGTCCCTGAGGTGGTTTTCCTGTGGTTGAAAACCACTGGCCTAGACAACTGAGCTAGGTGGCCCAACAATTTGATCTGGTGCAAGGCAGCTTGCTGTATGGGGTCGACTTTTCTTCAAACAGAAAAGTTCTACAGCTCTGAACATTTAGCAGCCAGCCATGCTGGCCTAGGAGTTGTAGGACCGTTGTCTGTTCAAGCATGCACTGGATCCCACCTCCTATGGACTCTTCATGTTGTTGAGGGTCCATAGGATCACTTGGAGCCCCAACTCTGAGCCTGTATGAACTCAGGCCTGGGACTTTGAAGGCTGAGTCCCCAACTTGTCAGTAAGGAAAGAAACATGCTAGCTGACTCTGAAAGGCTGCAAATTGCCTCAACATGCAAGAAAAGGAGTGTGTCACACAGGCTTGGAGCAGGGAGAGGAGGAGGCTGGGGCTGAGGGCTTATCCTATCCTGCCTCCTTCCCTTCCCCCTCTGTAGCGCTTCATTAGGGAGCCGAAACCAGGGTCCAGATGAAATGCAGGGGGTGAGAAGTGGTGCCAGGGCAGATTGGCATCCGTGTGCCTTGTGCTGTGCACTGTATGCACCTAAGCCTGAGAGTTTGGAAGCTTATATGCACCTAAAGCAGAGGGCATTGGATTGTGCCCTAAAACAATCTAAAATAATAGTATATCTGCTTAACAGAACTATGGATTAACATACAGATGAAGCCATAAAGATCCGAGCTTGTAGGATGAAAAGTGGATGGGACTAGTGCTATTAGAATGCTTTTCCATAGTGGAGTGAGAAAGGTTTGCTTGCTTATTTATTTATTTATTTATTTATTTAAACACTTTTCTATCTCATTCCCTACAAGAACGTCTTGGGATGCCTCAGGTTGGCCCATACATTTGCCAAACTGTCAAATGTGGATGCAGCGGAAGAAAAACCAGAAGCATGTTGAAAAGTTTACAAATTGGACTGAAAAAAAGCTTTGATGTGATACAATATGTGGCCATTGATATACAGTATTCCATTTTCTAACAAAAGTATTCATCAGGCCAGTGTTCTTTCACAAAAACTTGCTTGGTGCTTCTGAACTGTATCTGTATAAGAGTGGGGTCCCCAGAGTTGTGCCCATGGCTGCTATTGTGTCCACAGACACTTCTCTTAGCACCTGCCAGGCTCCCTGCCCTCCTCCTTTATATTTTATGATTTAAGATATTTTAATTTAAAAAATTAACTGGGAGGCTTGCATACTGCAGAAGAAGTGCTGGTTTCCAGCTCCATATTTATGTACAAAAAGGCCCACATGGGCTTAGAGACATTCCTAGAAAATAAAAATGGTGGGTAACTGCAGCCTAGCCACCAAGTAATCTGGGATAGTAGAAAGTTTCCTCAGGAGGAGAAGAGTGCCTGAGAGCACCCCAGGCTGGGGCAGGGGGTGTAGAGGGATGCAGAGGAAAGAGGGGCGTTTTGCCTCTGCCGTGCTTATGAGAGATGCTTCCCCACTATCTGGGTGGCTGTTCTGGTTGTGTGTCTTTGTGTTTCTCTGAGCATCACTAGTTTACATTCTGTGAAAAGAGTATTTTGTTTTGATTTATGGGGCAAATATGTGATTAAGCATACTTGTTACTTGTTTCCAAGCTTCATCTGTTTGCCTCTGCAAATTGAATGTTGAAGCAGAGAAGAGAGTGGTTTGTGATTTCAAGCTCAAACCCCACCTCTGCCTTGTACTTAGGTTCTTGGGAAAGTTATTTTTGTTTTGTCTTGCCAGTCTGCCTTGTGCAAAATGGGTGAATTGTGAACAGGCTTTGAGAATGGTAAGTTTGTTACCCAAATCTTGGAAACCTCCTAAGGTGGTAAGTGTGCCTGGTGTGCCGGACTAGTAACAAACCAGCTGAGATGGGTCTTTAGAAGGAGGCGGCTTTATTCCAGGAATACAGGGGACTCTGCACAGGCAAGCAAAGCAAGGTTGCACGCAGCAGCCACCCAAACAGTGCAGGTTTCTAACTTTCATAGAGCTGGTTAAGCGATCTGTTCTCCCTCCCTCTGCTCCTCCGGTTGTTCTAGTAGCACATTCTTGTTCCAGTCTAGTCTGGCTCCAACTAGTTTCAGCTGCCCCATCCTCCCTCCCTTGGTATTTGGGAGAGGTCACTTCCTTAGCTTACTCAGGGGTCAGCCATCACTGTATACGTGACAAGCTGGAGTGCCTGGATAGCTGGATTAGGATATATTTGCCTATCAAGTTCACCTTATGACAGCCATTTTGTAAGAGTCCCTGTAAGACTCTCAAAATACCAAGCAAGAATCGTATCAAGAATCCTAGAACAGCAGAGGTGGATGGGCCAGAGGACCATCAGGTCCTAGCCCCGCTCAGCGCAGGACTCCAAGTTACACCCCCCCTCAAATGGCTGTCAAGTTGTGTCTTGCATGCCCTTAGTGTGGGAAAGCCCACAATCTGCCTCGATAGTGGGCTCCATTTTCATACTGCTCTAACGATCAGGATGTTTTTTCCTGATGTCTAGCCAGAATCTGGCTTCCTGTCATTGAGCCCCTGTCATGCCATGTCCTGCACTCTGGGATGATCGAGAAGAGATCCTGGCCTTCCTCCGTGTGACAGCCTTTTCAAGTACCATCCTATCTCGCCTCAGTCTTCTCTTCTCAAGGTTAAACATGCCCAGTTCTTTCCATCTCTCCTCACAGGGCTTTGTTTCCAGTCCCTGGATCATCAACATACTATCCTACATGCAGTAGAAATGTTGACTGGGAAGCTAAGCTTCTAATCTCTGCTCTCCTGTGATACTCACTGACTGGCCTTCAGCAAATCATTGCTTTTCAGCTTCATTTACCTCACAGGGTTTATTTATTAATTTCATTTTTATACCACTCAGTAGCGGAGTTCTCTGAGAGGGAGTGAGAGTGCAAGGGAGAGATTACATAAGTTAAAGTTTGTTAGGATCTTCTTAGAGATCATAAATCAGGAGTCATCAGGGGTCACCTTACAATCCCTCCGGTTTCCTGGGTTGCCCAGCAACAGTAGCAGTCACAGGTAGGCTGGAATAAACAGGAGAGGGAATCCTAGGAAGGGCTTTTTAAATGGAGCAAAGTTTTTGAGGGAGGAGGAGGAGGTGTGGCAGAAACACAAAGGGTGGGGTGGGGGAATACAAACCCGTTTTTTTTCCTAGCCATCCTGCTCCAGAAGCAAAAGGGGCTATTGATCTTATTAGAAGCTCAAGGGACCAAGTTGGAGGATTGGCTGCTGGGAACAGTAAAAGAGACCTCCCAGTACAGATTACAGACAGGAAAATAAAAGACCAAGAAGACAGAATTTTTTCACCCTCACAGCAAAGTCAATACCAGACCATTGTGACCCCAGGACTAGTTACCTACAAGTTGCACCACTACACGTACATTTATTCTGATCCTGCAGCTACATGCCTACCTGTGTTGAGAGAGGGGCATCTACCCTGATCCTGCAACTCTCTTCTTGGTCTGTGGACAGTCTTTCTACTGCCAGGCAGCCATAGCACCCCACCCATATTCCTCCTGGGTCTGCTTCTGCTTGCCAGTATCGCCACAGGGCATGCCTCCCTACCTGGCAGCTACTTA